GGCATTCCATAGAGTTCTGGCCTCCGTCGAATACTTGTTTATGTGCTGATTTGCTGTGTAGGTTTTGACCAAAAGGTATTCATAATCACGATTTTCATGTCTGACAACATCCGGTCGAATACCTTATGTCTGAATACCCTCAATCTGAATACCCTCAATCTGAATACCCTCAATCTGAATACCCTTGGTCTGAGTACCCTTAGGCTGAATGCCCTTAATATTTCGCTTGGGTCCTCCACTGCAAGGCTCTACTATACTCGAGTAGACTTGCAAACCATGATTAACCATCAATGCACACTATGGAAGTCTCCGAGGCGGTACTGCCTTGGAAGGCCTAAGGCAGGTTCATTGAATGTTTTGTCCAGCAAACTCAGTAAATATGTACCTACTAATTTGTACTTTATATCACTTAAGGTCTCACGGTGCTTAGATTGTAAGCAAGTGTCTTCTTGATCTTAAACATGTAACGCCTTCCCAATGATGGCTTTGTAAGTGGCCACATAATACGTAAGATTGATTAGGCGTGAAACTCGCATTTTTTTTTTTTTTTTTTATTTCACGTGACCCCGCTTGTAGCTGTTCGCCATGGCAGGGCGTGAAACTCGCATAATAAGAGTGCTACTGTACTATATAACAAGGGGATGCTTGTAGCTACTTATCCTACGGCGATCGCCTTGCATTCCGCCTGTTACTGACCCTTGCTTATAATGTGCTGGAGATAGAGGCTCACAGAGTACGAGCAAACAAATAGCATTTACCAAATCAGAGGCCGCTGCCAATCAAGATAAATCTAAATTTGATAAAGTCAGACAAGCGAAGTTATTGTTTGGCAAACTCGTGCGTCAAGCTAGACTAGTCAGCGGTATGTGCCGTGACTGTTCATCATAGGCAAGGCTACAACCTTAAGGGCAATGTGTATGTGGGCCAGATACAAGTAGTAACAAAGTACACCGTCAGTTGTTGGAATGTAATGCTAGATCTGTAGCAGCCGCCGTCGACTACATTTGAAAATATATCTACCAAAGTCCAAATGCGCATTTATGCACGGTACCACTCAGGTACAATCATGAAAGTAGGTATTCAAGTTTCCTCCGGTTTCAAAGGCTCAAAAAAAAATATAATATATTCCGTGTAAGTATGCGCCGTCTCCAATCCTGATACCCATGTAACCACCAAGAAGCAATATCCTTTGTTCCAGCAAATATATGCAATAACCTAAATGAACCCCAAAATGAATGCAAGGCGAGTTTCAAGATCCTCAAGTCCCCAATGTAAAACATCCTTCCGTCCCAAGTAATCAAGAGATCTGTCCACGGGCTTACTAATGCAGTATATATACCCTGAAATCCTTTCCACCCAAAAAAGGAATAAAACGTTCCCTCGAACAATCCATACCCAGAGAAATTGAAGATAAATATCTAAAACGTATAATGAAATAATAATAAACTAAATTAAAACTCATTGCATGCTAAGACTTGCCGCACAATGCTCTTTAGAACCTCCTTGCCATATGGTCAGCAGAGAAGCGGACTGCGGACCTCTTCGTGATGCTGCCGTTGACGCACTTTGTCCCACTAGCAACATTGCCCATTGGAATTGGAGTACCGTTAGCACAGAGAGACCAAGTGGTGGCGCTGGTACAAATGACTTGACCGTTGGTGCAGCTTCCAGTTGGGGGTGGTGTGTGTGGTGGTGGTTTAGTAGTGTCATTGGTTGGTGGGATAACAGGTTCCTGTGGTTGCTGTGGTGGCGTAGTAGTGCCATTGGTTGGTGATTGCGGTGGTGGTGGTGGTGGAGTGGCATCGTCGTCAGTTGGTGGTGGAGTGGTGTCGTCACCTGGAGGCGGTGGTGGAGGAGTGTTTTCGGGATTACCACCTTCCTCTGGTGCAGGGCCAGTTGGGGCCTCACAGCCAGTACCCGTTGGAGCTTTTGTGTTGCTGCTCTGCGAGCGGACGTTAGGTCCCGGGTTGGGGATCAAAACATCAGCACCCTCCAAGGTGGTACATTTGTTGTCGATGTTCGCGAGGAAGATGTGGGGGAAGTTTGGACCACGCAAGCCAGAGCTACCACCTGTAATCTCAACAGAGGCACAGTTCATGTACATCTCACGGTTGCCGATTTTGTTAAACCAGGTCCAAGCGAAGAGGACTAGGCCGCTCTTAGTCTCCTTTGGAACGTTAAAATCGAAAGTTCCGCCACTCGAGGTTGGGCAGTCGCCAATGTAACTCTTGAGAACTTTGAAAGTTTGGCCACCATCCTCAGAAATGGAAGCCTGGCAAGAGCCACCTCCGTGAACAGCACCAGCGCTGAGGCTGTATTTGAAGGTTTATTAGCAATTTTGTTTCTATAAGTAACCTGGATATTCAATGGGTGCCACATACGTGAATTTCTGGGTGCTGCCCGCCTGCCAAGTAGCCACCGGTTTCAAAGCAGCTGAGTCAGCCTTATGGTAGCCCTTGCATGGGTATTTAGCTGCGCTGATGGGAGCACTGTAATCAGTGTCCTTCGTAGATGCGAATGGGTTTTGTGGGTGATTGATCGGTACAGGATCTAGCATGGTAATGTGGGCGTGAACTGCAGGCATAGCAGCCAGAGCAGCGAGGGCAGCAAACGAGATGAATGACTTCATTGTGAGGGTTATGAAAGAGAAGGCGCAATGGAAAGAAGAAATAGACCGAGCTGGACTTTTGCCTGAATGTGGATGTTTGTTACAGCAGAGAATGTAGTTCTACAAAGGAATGTGCGAATTCGTACCAAGAGCGAAATTCGAGAGTTGGACAATTGGAAGGAATGAACTGAAATGAGGGGTGGCAGACCAGCTACCTGTTGGAGAAGACGCTTCTTAATCGTGGTGATCGGTGGTGAGTGAGGGCAAAATGTGGGAGGGCGAAGGGGAATTATATATCCAGCGATGCTGCGACTACCGAAAGGGGTAGCACATGTGCGCGGGCAGCCTTCAGCACGCTTTGCCGTAGCGTCCAGCACGCCGCCTCACACGTAAGATGCACGCATCTGGGTGCGTGTCGACCGATCTGCTGGGCTCCTCGTGGGCCCCGGGGTCCCGGCAAGCAGTCATTGGCCGTCCACACAATGCACCAAATTGACCCGAAACACTTGCGTTGAAGGGGCCCTGGCGATCAAACGTAAGGAATGCGGATGCTAATTCGAACTCGTGGTGCACTGGGATTGGCATGCCCTTCCACAGTTCCCCTGCACCCGCCGCGCAGCACAGCTCATTGTTGTCGGGGAAACTTGTATTGCGCACCGGCTGACTGTAGAGTACTTGATCATCGCAGTGTGATCTGTCGTTTCGGCAGCCGCCGCCCGGAGACAAACAATAGATAAACTTTTGAAAATCTTCAACAAAGCCGTTGTTCGGTGAAGCTTAAGTAGTCTTACCGTCAGCTATTGCAAGCATGCGCAAATTCTTCGCAACAACGTCGATACAATGCAGATCTCGGGCCTACATACTGAGTTTGTATTTTCTAAGAATATTTTCTGATACAAAGTGCTAAAGTTGCCTAGATTGCCCAAGATCTGCATCCATGCATTTTCAGGAACCATTGCGTTTCAGAAAAAAGGAAAATTACTATTTCGGCTTCCCGTTCTGCAGATGTTATACCTGGACATTTGGTTATGATCATCTTGAATTGCTACATCAAATCTTTGCTATGCTCTATTGGAATATCACTCATGTACTCACCTGAGCACTGCTTCCTACGCTCGCACAGATATGTGCAGGTCATAGTCGGAATGAAACGTTCAAGACCTCCTCATTCAGATGAGAAAACACAGGCAATGAAGCTGATTGGATGTGCGGATGTAACAGTTAGGTAGAAGGGAACGTTTCATATCCACATCTATAATGGCGTCATCTCAATTATAGCCAACCATTTGTCACACTCACATTTATTGTGTTATATGTCAACTTAAAATCCAGGTATAAGTACAAATATATTGAATACTTGTAACCAATCGAATCCTAGTTCAGGCATGTGTATATACGTATACTTGTGAATCTGCATTTTACGTGAAATTAAATAGGCATCACAACATACAGTCTAACCTTGCTATACCGGACCTCGCTATACCGGAAATCTTGCTATACCGGATGGCCTCTGATTCGGACAACAGTTTCCCATACAAATTGCCCTTGCAATACCGGACGCCCTAACACTACCGGACCGGACAAAAACCTCCAGACAACTACCCCCCTGTCTCCATACAAATAATATTTGCTATACCGGACACACTAATACTAATACATCTTAGACTACCTCACTTTACCACTTGGACTGGTTGTTTACCACTCTGCTGCCGTCAATGCTAACTACCACTACTGCTGCTGCCATCACTGCTATCACCGCTGTTGCTATCACTTGCTACCGATGCTGCCACTGCTGTCACCATTGCTGCTACCACTGCTGTCGCTGCTGCTGCTGGGAGGCTGGTAGAGTTTGCTGCTTCTTTGGTGTGAATTGATAGGCTTTTAGAGAAACAGTCAGCGTAGCATGTTTTGGCTCTAGTCAATGCTTGCATATTTGATGCTCCCCAAGAGCTTGTAAGGCTCGACCTCTTCTAGGTGGTGAGAGCGATGCATGTTGAATAGACTTTGATTGAGTTAATGTTTGCTGCACTTGTTTATTTCCTACTCCAGTAATTTCTATACATATTTTGCCACCCCTTTTTTACAGTTGCCAAGCATTTTATTCTATACCGGAACCTTGCTATACCGGACAAAAAGTGCCAGATTTTTACTCGTCCGGTATAGCAAGGTTAGACTGTAATTTCCACAATAAGTACGGAACGCTTGATTAGGTAGACACAGAAGAACAAGACTAAGTATACCCGTCGCACATCTCAGGCTGGGGCTATATTGGAACGACACAAATTTAAGTAGCCTTGAATTCCAACGACTATCCGCTTAGCTTGTACCGGTATTAGAACGGCCGATTATTCAAAATTGGGACTTGAATAGTGAAGGGAAAAAAAAAAATAGAGGGCTCAATCGGGAATTGAACCCGAGACCTCTCGCAACTGTGAGAGTGAAGAACACCCAAAGCGAGAATCATACGACTAGACCATTGAGCCAGGTTCATATGCATCGAATTGAAATTAAATAATAAAGACTTAGCGTGCCCGATGTGGTAACGATCTGCCCCCCTGTAACGATCCACTCTCTGGGCACTCCTCGTCATGCATTCCTCACTCTACTACTTTTATTTGAATATATTGCAACTATAGAAATTGCTTAACATTATACCAATTTGACATCGCTGAATCAGAATTTGCTATCATAATGAGGAAAAAATCAAAATTCCAATATTTACAACTAAATTTATCATCATTTACCTAAGTTGAGTCCTCCCTGTATATAGTATAGCTCAACATTCTCGAAATCAGAAAAATTATATAGAAAACTAGTAATTCTCATCCATCTAGGGCTGGTCTTTTTATTAAAAGTCAATATTGCATATACAGATCATGTGGGATGCAGTGCACCTTCAATTGTATAGAAGTAGTTTATATTCGCGAGCTAATCTCTATACCTTGATCTGACCTTCAGTGTTCCTAGACTCCTCAAGTGATTCAGGAATACCGGGACTTGAAGTTGTAGTAGTTGAAGCACTAGGGGTGGTAACAGTAACTCCTTCTGAGGTGCCAGGTATGACAGAAGAGACCTATGGCTCAAATCTGCTATTGGAACCTTCTTCTACCCACCCCCCTTCTAGTATTCAGACCCTCCTATCTCATGAACTAAAGATCTTTCCCAGCCCCAGCCTTGCATGTGAGTTCCTCTATGGTGTCTTTTTGTAACTTGTTCAGCTGCAGCCATCTCTCTCTATTTTCGTTCTTCTTTTGCCTTGCTGTCATGGGTCACCTCGGGTGGCCGATAGAGCGTATATGCGGCGTATGCGAAATGCGACAGCAAATATATGGGATGCAGGTGTGTATTGCTAAATGAGCTATGCAGAGGACTAGTAAACGTCACTAGTCAAGTGTTTTTTCACTGATCTGGTGGGATGCGGTTCTCTACCCAAGACGCCCAAGACGTTATATTCACTCACTTCCTCCTAAGCCGCCTCGAGCTGAAGTTAAAGCAATACTGGAAATAGAAGGAAAAAATAGTAGGAGATATCGAAAAGGAAACAGAGAGTACCAGCGAAGGTCAGAAAGGAGGAAGAGAAACTTCAGAAGGTGCGAAAATAGTTTAGGATAAGAAAGAAGCCGCTGATATGCAAAGTGGTTAGCAGCGATGGATCGAGAAAGTAAGGCAAAAGAGGAACGAAAATAGAGAGAGATGGCTGCAGCTGAACAAGTTACAAAAAGATACCATAGAGGAACTCACATGCAAGGCTGGGGCTGGGAGAGATCTTTAGTTCATGAGATAGGAGGGTCTGAATACTAGAAGGGGGGGTGGGTAGAAGAAGGTTCCAATAGCAGATTTGAGCCATAGGTCTCTTCTGTCACACCTGGCACCTCAGAAGGAGTTACTGTTACCACCCCTAGTGCTTCAACTACTACAACTTCAAGTCCCGGTATTCCTGAATCACTTGAGGAGTCTAGGAACACTGAAGGTCAGATCAAGGTATAGAGATTAGCTCATGAATATAAACTACTTCTATACAATTGAAGGTGCATTGCATCTCACATGATCTGTATATGCAATATTGACTTTTAATAAAAAGACCAGCCCTAGATGGATGAGAATTACTAGTTTTCTATATAATTTTTCTGATTTCGAGAATGTTGAGCTATACTATATACAGGGAGGACTCAAATTAGGTAAATAATGATAAATTTAGTTGTAAATATTGGAATTTTGATTTTTTCCTCATTATGATAGCAAATTCTGATTCAGCGATGTCAAATTGGTATAATGTTAAGCAATTTCTATAGTTGCAATATATTCAAATAAAAGTAGTAGAGTGAGGAATGCATGACGAGGAGTGCCCAGAGAATGGATCGTTACAGGGGGGCAGATCGTTACCACTTCGGGCACGCTAACGCATTTCCTTGCTACTCGCTCTTGACGCTCACCGCTGTAGTGACATAATAAATAATCTTTCAGCCCGGTAATTGGCACGTACATCTACTGTACCCAGGCAAGAGTTTCAAGCTTTCACCCAAGACTCGGTAAGCGTCGTATCTGTCATAATTATATGCATCACTTTTCCCGGAAGATAAGCTCAGAGAACTTACAGTACGCGTTTCAAAGCGGCGTTTGTTTGGATGGAACGGAACTCCCAAGGTAAACATGAGAAAGTGGCTGGCCATCGTAACAAAGCTATTGTTTTTCAGTTGAGACTCTGAATTGTAGGGATTGGCGATATGTTTCCTCCCTACTCGGCGTGATGGTATCTGACACATAAGCACTAAAACTCTCTACCCGGGATTTGAACCTCCCCATTCCCTTGCCTTATACAATGGCAGTGTCCTCACACACGTTAGGTTGTATCACCTGAGAAGACATTTTAGGGAAACTCGTTTCTTGAACTCGGACCTTGAGGTATAGCCAGAAAAAGAAGTCATCAACTTCATCTCAGCAACCTACGAAAGAAGGAAAAGTAGCGGAAGCCTAAAACGCCCAATGTATTCACAGATCCCAATTCATATCTTATGTTTTCTTTCATGCGACATGATTGTTTCCACTATTCATAAGTCATATGCAGTAATTATGTAGTAGTATGTATCAAGACACCTGCTTGTAAAATTTTCTGCTTCACGGCTACAAACTCATGTCCTCTACTCTCATTACACCCTTTTGTTTCCCTTTTGTTACTTTTAGCGTTGTAGATCCACGTTTTTCAGAAAAGGAAAATAAATCCAACAAAACCACAACGGAGGACTTGTAAAGTAACTAGAAACAAATGCCGTAATGAGTACTGACAGAACGCAAGATAGAAGGACAAAGCTTAAATGAAGAAATCGCTGCGATTCATTGGCATCTCATCAATCTGAATGTTGTAGTACTGCTCGATATCTCTGAGAACCATAACATCTTTTGAGGTGACTAAGTTTATGGCAATACCCTTCTTGCCAAACTCCTCTGATCTTCTGATTCCATGAATATAATATTCGCGTTTCACCGGCAAATCATAATATATAATGAACGACACCTGCTGTACATCGATCCCGCGCCCCAGAGCGTGAGTCGAGATGACAACGCGTGAGTTCCCCTGGTAAAAGTCCTGCATGATGGAGTCACGCTCCTTCTGTGGCATTCTGCCGTGCATGGAGGAGACGGTAATCTTAGCGTCGTGTATTTTCTCGGTAAGCATTTTCTGGGTAAGCCAGTCGACCTTTCGTCGAGTGCCGCAGAAAATGACGGCCTGTGTGATTGTCAAAGTATTGTACAATTTGCGAACAGTATCGAATTTCTCCTCCTCATTTTCAACCGTAATAAAGTATTGCTTTAGGCACTCCAGCGGCAACTCATCACGCTGCACAAAAATCCTGACTGGTTCATTCATAAGCTGTGTTGTCATGTCCAGCACATCGGATGAGAGCGTAGTGCCAACCACAACAACCTGTGGAGAGGGTAGGTCAGGATAGATTTCGAACATTTGTTCTCTGAATCCCCTATCAAGGAGCTCGTCTGATTCGTCCAAAACAAGCATCTTAATCTTCTTGGTCTTCAGTGCGGTTCGTCGGATCATATCTTTGACCCTTCCAGGTGTGCCCGAGACGACATGCTGCCCCATTTTCAGAGCTTTGATATCCTCGGCGATTTTTGTCCCGCCGATACAGGCGTAGCACTGCACGTTCATGTAATCTCCAAGTGCCATGATGACGCTCTGCACCCTGGTTGCGAGTTCGCGGGTAGGAGAGAGAACGAGGGCTTGTGTCTCGGGAATTGAGGTATCGATAGCTTGAAGGATGGATATCAAGAAGGCGGTAGTTCTACCGGAATTTGACGGGCCTTGCACGATGGTGTCGTGGCCTTTGCATATTTGGGTGATGGCGCGGGATTGCACGATGGTGGGAGTCTCGTATCCATAGGCGTGGATGCCGCGGAGGAGGTTCTCTTTTAGGTGCATCGATCCAAAAGTCGGCACCGCTGTGACCTCCTTCGAGGTCGTAAACTCAATTTGCTCCTCTGCTTTCTTGTTGGACTGGTCCGCCATTGTGTATAACTAGGCTATCCCGTTGTTTTCAATTATATCGCTGTTTTCTGTTCGTCTTTGATTGAGAATGCTGCTGTATCCACTTCTTTCAGATGGTGATGCTGGAAATGAGCCTCCATCACCCTGGTAGCATCTTTGCATGAGTCAATCACGTCGAAAGGGATTTCGTATGAACGTACCCAAATGCCTCTGGGTAAAGCGGGCGGAGAAGGTGGCCTGACAATGATCTGCGGAATATCCCCTCAGTAGGTATTGCTGATTTTTTCTGGACAACCTAAGTTCCATTATCATGGCGTCTCTTATGTCAGTATATACCAAGGCATGGAAGATTTTCTACAACACCGATCAACCTGATGGGGATATCACTGCTATCATCAAGATTGTATACAGCAATTATGGCAAGACTGCGTGGGGGGGTAAGTAGAGACTGGGTGCTACAGCGATTCGCTTCGCCAAGGTTATGTACCGCACCTCTAACAATCTGACAATCTTGCGTGCTCTTGTCGAGCAATACAACGAAACACGACTTTACGTGAAGATCAGGTCAAGGCATTCATTTTGACGATTTTGCGGGCACAGTTGAAAGAGTGTAGAGGAGGGGTGAAGAGATGGGGTTGCCGATAACCACATAGGTACTAGTACCCAATGCTATAGAAAAAGAGCACTAGCCCCAAATAGGAGCGTCGTGATCAGCGGTTGGCACAAACCAACGAAGTACGTGCAGCAAGTCGTCCAATTATTAGACCAGGAGGATTAGTATGGAAACAGACACAAGCCAGCCTCAAATGTGTTGTGAAGCTTATGCTCAAAGAAGAGATATGCTTTGTCTTGTACTAATTGGAATTATCTCAGTTGTGCCTGTAATTTCCAAATCGAGTTCTGGCAGGAGATGTTGTTACTTGGCAGAGGCCAGTTTGAAGCTTTACCATCAGCATTGGGTCGGCTGGAGATAGAAGTGCTTGG